ACCCTATATATTAGTCACCCCATATCGACGTTGTGAGTGGTTGCTCATGCGATCGATTGCTTGTTTTTTGTTTAAAGCCGCACTATAAACGGGCAGTGTCTTTCATTTTTTAAATATTTGTGTTGTTGTTTAACGCCGCACTCAGCAATATTCCAACTATATGACGGCGGTCTGTAAATAATCGAGTCTGAACCAGACCATCCGGTGATTGACATTATGAGCATCGATCAACGCAGTTGGCATACTATGACATGCATCAAGCAAGTCGGCGAGCCTGACCACCTGACCCCGTTAGTCGCCTCTGACCTAGCTCTTGTTTGCTTGTGAGTTCTGTCCCTAGATGTTTTTTTCTGTACTGTTCACATGCCAACATGGAAACCTCAAAGAGGGGCACGTCTTGTCCCGTAATCCGGAATGAGTTGGTCACGAATGAGTCAAGAATGTCGCGGCGTATGCCGGAAACCTACAGAACACATTCCTAGGCTATAAGTGCGATATTGTTTTAGAACGTTGAATCTTCGTACCAAATACGACTTTTGTTTGGGTCCCGCGTACCACACTGTGTCCCGAATAGTCTCTAAATAGACTGATTTAAACATATTTATTCACAAGGAGTGAACGGGAGTGAACGGGATTGGGGGACAAGTTCTTCCAACTTAGAATGCCCTCTCCCTGGTATTTACAAAAAATTCACAATTTCAAATTCAATATATATGCACACAGCACTCAGTGCCGTAGCCAGCCGGGGGGCAGAAAACAGTTTTATTTGAATCATGAAAATACAAAATGGGGAAAAGTGATACTTGTACAAATATTTGCCCCCCTGTCAAAAAAAGTTAACTACGGCCTTGGCACTATAGAGGAGAGAGAGAGAGAGAGAGAGAGAGAGAGAGAGAGAGAGAGAGAGAGAGAGAGAGAGAGAGAGAGAGAGAGAGAGAGAGAGAGAGAGAGAGAGAGAGAGAAATACATTGTTGAATGAACAGTTCTTTACACAAATCTTTTAGTTGTACATACATAATGATGTACTGCCTTAAATATAGCTTCTTTTTCTGTAGCAAGGTGATCTGCATTGCAGTATAACAGTAAGTGTACATCAACGGGTATGTTATGAACAATAATTTTAAGGCTGTTTAACATAATTTCACGCTGATGACTAAACAATGTACATTCCATGAGATAATGATATGCATTTTCACATGTATTTGAACATGTACAGTTCGGGTGATCTTTTATACCAATTCTATATAAATCATAATTCAATTGACTGCATATGTATCTAAGTTTTGTGTGTAAGATATTATATTTTCTTTTTCCATATGCGAAGTACGCAGTTGACGTGGGGTGGTGCTTTTGTAACGAATTTTTAAAACAAGAAATCGTAAATAGACCCCTAAAAAAAGGGATTTGGCAGGTCCAATCCCATTCTGCCTACATTTCAATATGCCTACAGAAAAAAATGTAGGCACAATGGGAACTCAGTACCATCCCTATTTGTGTTAATTGATTAAACCACTATTGTTGGACTCATTTTGTTTTAATATCAGGTTTTAATATCAGGTCAAACATGTACTGTTGCAGCTTCCTCTATAAAATGTTAGAAACTGAAGAAAACTGAGTATTGGATGTAAATACTTATTACTGTTAAAAGAAGACAGTTCTTAAGCTGAGCAGAGATGTTTTTTTGTTTTTTGTTTTTGTTTTTATTGTTCCTGGTAAAAGTACATCATGTTTTGATAAGAGTCAAAATACATGACCAGGGTTTTTTAAGAAAGTACATATCATTCACACACATCCATACACACATTCACACTCACTAGAAGCTTTAGTACTTATGAAGACAGAATGCAGGATATATATTTAGTAAAGTTTTGGAATAGCAAATGTTTATATTTTCAAAAGGTTTTCATAAGGAGCCCATTTCGTATAGAATTCAGTCTGTTTGGCTTTATTAAAGTGTCTATTTTTCTATTTGGTAATACTATTTAACCTCATTTTGGAAATGTGTAATGGTTGGTTGGTTATTTTTCAATTTGGCATCTATAAATGTGGAATTTGGCCAATAAGAGTATCAGATCAAAAATATCATCTGTGTGGAAATGTTTTGAAAAGCCAAAAAGAATTAGGTCTGAAGTAAGATTTATCTTGCCAGTATGTGGACACTTGGATTCAATCCATTGTGAAAATCTTTTCCAGAAATTTTTGCTTACCCTACAGTCCCAAAACAAATGTTGGATAGATTCTGGCTCAGCATTACAGAAAGTACATAGACAGTTGAGCAGAGATGTTAATAAACTGTATACTGACTGTATAAACTGTATTTTCTTTTAGACATCAATACAATAAACATTAGACTGAGTAAAATGTGTCATTACATTTCAGAAGTGTTTCCCATTGTGCCTACACTGTTTTGTTGTCTCAGTATGGACCAGTTTATCTCCTACCACCTATCTCCTCTCAGAGGTGAAACGGTTAGACACCGTTTGGCAGCCTTAATACTCCCCCTCCCCTAGTCTGTCTTACAGACCCTGATACAAATATATATCAAATACAGCCCATATAAGTCTATAATGTTTGGCAAGTCTAGATCACTGCAGTATCAGGAAATGAAGAGAGTCACTGGGCTCCTTTTTATTATATTTTTATTACGATAACTGAACATGTTTTTTTCTGTACGATATGTTCATTTCAGAGACTAGATGTTAGTCTACCCCTCCCCCCAAACTGACTATAGATCACCACCCACTCACTCACACACTCACTCCGTGTAAATAGTGCAGGAGATGAACAAATGAACATTTTCACTGAACACCCTTTGTTCTTCATTTATATGACACAGGTGTACAATCTAATACTTTATTCATACAATAACATATATTTATAGAATACATGTACATGGTATGATATCCCAAGTAGCATGTCTAGATATATTGTTTCCAGTGTGCGTGATCTGCCTATCGGCACACACAGCGATAACTGACCGAGAGCTGTGGTCATGTTTGTCACGTGCATGTCGAGTCTGATGACCGACTGTAGAAATATAAACTGATATAGCTGTTGTTGCCTGACAAAAACGGGGGTGGGGGTTACACGTATTGCAGCCAAAAAATAATCTGACCTGTCAGTTGAAACAAATCTTGAGAAGACCCTGGTATCGGCAAATTCTCCAGGTATTTGGGAAGAGACACTCGAATCACGTGTGCTATTGCGTCCATCTTGTCCCGGTCGAGCTGTAGACTTGCTGAACTGAACAATAACGCACGAACTCTACTTTGTGAACAGGGAGTGCGTGGAGTGTAGAGCACACGCTACGTTTGTTTGGTTGCGGAACAGTGATGAACGTGAATGAGAAAAGTGAAACTACAATAAATGTCATACACGTACGTGTTACATAAAACAAACCAAGTGGGTCAAAAAGGTCTGACTGACCTCTAGGCTGGCCAGGAAGGAAGTCTTGAGTAGAAAATTGCTATCGTAGTGTTGACATATATCTTGTTAGGTAGTTTAATCAGCCCTCGGTATTCTAAAAACAACCTGCTCGTTCGTATCAATGTAGCAGGGCAGTGATAGTGAGTGATAGGCAAACAAAACCTACGGGTGAGAGACGTTTATTCCACCAATGGATTTGTCATATATTTATCTATCTAGTATCTACACCCTGAAACATATTAAAGGAATGATAAGTAATATTAACAATATACAAAATGCAGTCATCGACATCACAGTATTACAACACGTTCTACATTACAAACACATCTTATTCATATACTAGTTGTTATACTGTACAATGATCTGCTAACTGATGTAAGAACCAAATGGAATAATTAATCATATATTATATTATCTAAGTGTAAAGCGATTACAAATCTCTTTCAAAATATATACATATACATGACTTTACGGGTGTGACACACTTATGTGTTACACAAATATAGAAACTGACTATACAAGTTATTATCTGCCTACCCTGTGTGTGAGACTGGGATGTCTTCCAGACTAAATTTTAGCGCCACAACTTATGCCATTATCGTTTTAGCTCAACTGACTGAAAGTCAAGTGGGTCCAGCCAAGTAGTATAGACGATGGGGGTCAAGGATCACCCCGCCCTGGACCAGACCCAGTACCTGAAACCACTATAATGAAGCTCCATTGGGACCTGGTAGAATAGGCCAGCAACCCATGCTTGCCAAAGGCGACTAACGGGATCGGGTGGTCAGGCTCGCTGACTTTGTTGATGCATGTCCTCATATCCCAATTGCGTGGATCGATCTTCGTGATGTCAATCACTGGATGGTCTGGTCCAGACTCAATTATTTACAGACTGCTGTCATATAACTGGAATATTGTTAAACAACAACAAACCGAAACCAGTTAATTAAACGTGGCATGTCTTTTGAGATTTTTCATTGGCAAAGACACGTTGCATTTTTTTCTATTTCAGCATGTGCACGTTTTACAGCTGCCCCAAAAAAGTGTAAGCGAATTTTCACCGCAGCATGTGCAACTTCCAAACAAAAGGGTTGTGTTTTGGCCCATAAGTTTGCAGTGTTCCGTGACTTTTTTCAGTCTATTAACGTTTGATAACGTTTGTTTAATATTTTGCTCAAATTGAATTTTCAAGTGAATACTTTGTTGCCCAGCAGTTTATATCTCAACCATGACACTTTCCTCCACACTAGAAAATGTTTATATGCTGCATGCCTTAAACTTCAGCACATTTTCATTATTGAGTGAGTGAGTGAGGATGGTTTTACGCCGCTTTTAGCAATATTCCAGCAATATCACGGCGGGGGACACCAGAAATGGGCTTCACACATTGTACCCATGTCGGGAATCGAACCGGGGTCTTTGGCGTGACGAGCGAACGCTTTAACCACTAGGCCACCCGACCGTCCCTTTTCATTATTGAAGAGTGCCATTCAGCCATCACTTAATAACAGAGTTGAACACAGCATTCAACAAGTTGATCCATTTCTTTATAATTAAAGATAAACGAGAATAAATATTATGAAACATTTATTTCTTTGTTAGAAAACAAGACAACAAATGAAAACAACTCTGTCCCTCACAATGTGCAAGAACTAACACTCAGCAAAGTCGGTCATCAACAAATTTACAAATCATTCATCTGTAAAAAAATACACTATCCACTCCAGAAAAAAATGTTATCCGAACAGTTACAATTTGTTCAACACTGTTGGCTGCATGGAAGACGGTTACATGCTCAGCTGGAAAGTTCTGTAACAGATGCATGTATTAACACATCCATATGATGCAGATAGCACTTGTGCTTTTGTTATGTTTATGTTCCTGGTCAAAACATAGGACCTTCATACAGCAGATGAGATTTTTGGTTGCAATGTTTATGCATCTTATAAAAATTGATGTCCTTCAGATAGCACATGCACATTTTTGTTGCAATGTTTATGAATCTGGTCCACATTTCATGCTGCATACTTCACTGGACTTTCTCTGTGTCTGTTCTATTGTAGGATGTGCAAACATGTATTATGTTGCATCTCCTAAGTTTGGAAAAATGAAAGATCTGTGATACAAGTTCAAATAAAGTTTTCTCAGCAAGTGAGTGAGTGAGCATGATTTTACGCCGCTTTTAGCAATATTCCAGCAATATCACGGCGGGGGACACCAGAAATGGGCTTCACACATTGTACCTTTGTTGTTAATGAACCCTTGTCTTCGGCGTGACGAGTGAACGCTTTGACCACTAGGCCACCCGACCGTCCCTTTTCTCGGTGATGGATGTTGCTATGGTAGCAACCTCTTTGTTTATTTGAATATTTTGAAAACACATCCTTGTCAGAGTTTCATATATGACACCAGATTGTATAAACCAGTACCAGTACACCTTTCAGTGACAAAATGTCAATAGCTATCTCATCGGTGCATACAAGTGACACAAACACAGTGATTATCTACAACAGTGTAATGTCATGCCAGTAATTATACATTATTTCTGCAAATGTTAGGTTCTCAAAGGAAACTGCTTAGACCCTCAGAAACCAAATAGAGTCGCTTATTCACAGCCAAGTGTATCAGCTATTTCCTTGTCATCATGGTACTCCTTCATGTTGTGGTGTTATTGTTTATCACAGATGTAATGGAACCTACATTCAAAAATATACATCAGCCCTGATAAGCATTAGATATCTAGAGCCTAAACAAAGTCACATGGTTCCAATTGCCTGACTGATTCCAATCCAAGGTTTTAACCCGAATGTGTTGTAGGGTGGTAGAAGGTGATTCAACAACAAGCACACATGTAAACACATACCACACATGGCTACTTTACAGGTGTTCTCCAGCACAGTTGCACATTTGTTTGTTTCTTAATGAACCTGGCCATTTGGAAATTTAGGGTAATTAGAAACACAACAACGATGTTAAATGCTGAATCAGGACAATGTTTGACAGTGTTTTTACAAAAGCAAATGGAAACACAACAAACACAATAAAATTCTAAATAACACAAATATGCTCAATTCCTTGAACACATTCCTCACTGAATACAAATTACAGCACCAATCAAAAATGTTGAAATACTCATTATGTGAGTGAAATGTAATCCATATACCTGTTTAGGACCTTCATACTGGCAATTGTAATAACTAATAAAAGTTATTTGGAGACATTCACTCAACTGATAATCAGCTGTTATTTAATAAATATCATATCTTTCATCAACATAAAGAGTATAACAATATGGTTGTTGAGTGAGTGGTTTTATGCCTCTTTTTCATTTGCAATTTTCCAGGCATAACATGGCAGGAAACAAGAAACAGGCTTCAAACACTGCACCATCGGCGTGATGAGCCACCGCTTAAACCACTTGGCTACCCCACTGCCCTTATCACACTTGAGTGAGTGAGTTGGGTTTAACACCGCTTTTAACAGTATTCCAGTTATATCACGGCGTGTCAGCTTAATGTGGGAGGAAAACCCAAAGTGATGTAGGTCTCAGACGTTTACCACTTCGGTGAAACCCACAAGCACAGGTATGGTGCTGACAAACCTAGAAACATAATAGGGGCAAACCGGGCTTCGAACCCACAATCATAGGTTTCTCGCGTGCCCAAGGGACGCAACTCTGTACAGCGAATCGCGGCGCCTTAGACTGGGCGACCCGTGCCCCTTTATCACACTTGAACCAGAGATACTTTTGAATAGTTATTATGGATGTATATATGCTAATTTCTACAGAAAATAAAGCAGAATAATACCTGAATGAGATCACACAAATACTATATTATCTCTTGGTCAGGGATGTGGAGTGTTGGATCTTATTTGTAAATGGACAGCTTAGCTAATAATGATGAACATGACAGACAATGGTATTTCACAGGGTTTACCATCATCATATTCAGACAGTGGCACCCTCTCACCATGTTCACTGTCAGCAACGGTTGAGATTTTTTGACCACTAAAAGAATATAACGTAAATGCATGTGTATGGCATTATGAATAATGTCTGCGGTTTGGTAAAAACATTCTAACTTGTGATTAGAAAGACAACCTGGAATGGAACAGATGCAGAAAAATGCTTTCACCATGAAATCCCAGACAGGCAACCATTGACCCAGATATGTACCCTTGACAGTTTTCCTGTTTGAAGACAAGAGGCATTTTGCCGTTTCCACACCTGATGGGTAACAAATTTCCATGTATCAGACAAATTTTCTATTGAAATAAAAATTTCTAGGGTACCGGTAGTTTATTTTCCATGTTGAAATTAAAGGGAGACTACGTTCCATTGTCTGGTGTCCATTTTCTGCCCAGTTCTAGACATTGTAATTAATACCATGTGTCAGTCTGAGATATTGTTTGTGGGAAGTTAGGCAAAGCAGAACCTTGAACTAGCAGGCCAAGAAAGTCTTGTTAAAGGGACTTCACACATTTTGCTGGGGCTGGCAATTAATTGAGCTTAGTCCCCCTTTAAACAATATTCATGTATCACATAAATGCTGAAGGGAACAAGTTGATCTGTTACATTGGGTGTTAAATAGTAACACTTGACGTCTGATTATATTGATATAGATATAGATATCTGTTGAATAATTTACTTTTAAGTTATTATTGGAATAATTACTTGGTATGAGTAGATAATCTAATCTTGCCCAATATTGAGCAAGCTGCAAGTTGTTAATATTACAAGTTATAATGTACCGGTAAATACTAAGAAACGTCTACCACATGAGTTTAATAAATATAACCATGATAAATTGTACTTGCCGAACATATTCAGTATTGATCAGGGTACATATTTTCTCATCTTTTATCATTTCTTGTTTCATCCGACATAAAAGCAAGTGGCTTGCTTGTGTGATTCAATGTGACAAAATCATTGAACTATGGTATTGAAGGAGATTGTTTCCCCAAGAATTAAGCTTGGATGCTTTTCTATCTCATTAAAATCAGATCTTTTACTTGGATATGATCGTTCTCTGCATGAAGGATAATGGGTACAATTTCAGGCACAATGCTTAAGCCAATCAGATGTCAACTTTCTAAAAATGATTTGGCTTTGTACAAATGAAAACTCTTTTGGGTGTCAATACCATGGCTCTTAGAAACCATGGAGTTCATATAGTATCATATAATGGAGCGGCCTGGTTTATCTATATTTTGTAGTTGTCGATTTAGTTTGTTTTCGAGAAACAGAACTTAGATATGCTGGCCAGGCTTTGCATACTTGTACTGACAATGAGTGAGTGCTAGTAATTGAGTTTTATTTTACCCCACTTTTAGCAATATTCCAGCAATATCACAGCAGGGGACACTGTAAATGAGCTTCACACATTGTACCCATGTCGGGAATCAAACCTGGGTCTTCGGTGTGACGAGCGAACGCTTTAACCACTAGGCTACCCGACCGCCCCTAGTGACAATGAAGAAGCCTCAATGGTGATTGGCTGGCTAAAATGTTCACCTCATGTTTCCTCCTCGTGCCTTGTAGTGCGGTAAAAGGTCTGATGTTAATGAGATTGGGATGCTTTCATCATCAATGTAAGCACAATGTAGTTGGTTTTTTTGCTCTATAAAATTGAGTAGAACTAGAAGAGCACTGGTACAGTACAAAGTTGAATGCCCCCAGAACAATAAAATCGTTTAAAAAAAAAAGGAAAAAAGTTGAATGCCCCAAAACAGTTAGAATGTTCCAGAGAAATAACTGCCCATTGAAAGAATTGTTCAAAAAGCTCATTGTGACAAACATACTTGATATTCTTTTTGATTATCATTATGTGGGCTTTGAGATTTAGGTGTAAAAAAGTAATCCTCTAAATCGTTGCCTCATTACCATTAAATTTTCCATGACACTTAGAGATAATGATTACACATAATCCTATAATCTAGGCACAGGTGAAATATTATGATCTGGTAATAAATCAACATGTCAAACATGTAAGCAACCAAGCTCAACTAGCTGCATAATTGTTTATATCCTAGAAATGATACTGTGGCTAAAAATAATTGAATGCAAGACAGATTCCTCTTTTCTATGTCACTGACATGATCAGCTGTTAGAGGCTTTGACAGATATGCTAAACACCCCTATTTTGAGGGTTCCTTCCTCTTGAGCACCAGGGGACCAACGTTATCACCCATTTCATCGTTGTGTTTGTTGTGGCTGCCATCACAGAGGGGGAACTGAAACAGGATGCATTCATATATATTTACTCAGCTTCTTCTGATTTGTTTGTTTGTTTGTTGTTAAACACCGCACTCAGCGATATTCCATCAGTCTGTAAATAATCTAGTCTGGACCAGACAATCCAGGGATTGACATCATGAGCATCAAACCAGGCGATTGGGATACGATAACATGCCTCAACCAAGTCAGCGAGCCTGACCACCTGATCCCGTTAGTCGCCTTTTACAGCAAGCATGGGTTGCTGAAGACCTATTCTATCCCGTATCTTCACGGGTCCAGATTCTTCTGAAGGATAGCCGTGTACTATAACGGGGCAAAATAGGTTTTCATGCCCTATTTGTTTTTGTAAGAGCTGACTACAGTGAGGATTGGGTGGTTACTGTGCTTGAAATGGTTTTATTGCGTCTTGCCGATTTCAAGCTTGAGGAGGTGATGTGAAATTGGGTTTAAAACAGAGACACAATTATTGCACTTATATAACGATGTGTCAAAAGTGATGGGATATAGATAGAATATTGATGACTCCACCAGAAAACAACATTCAGCACTCAGTCTGAACTGTTGACATAAGGTAAGGGACCTGTCAAAGGGAATCAAGGGAGAGTCAACAAAAACTATGACAATCTTTCATTTCATGAAAAATAATACACCAGCATTGACATTTTATAGTAAAGTGTGAACATGATGAAGTACATTCTCATTTTGTCTTTGGGGGAGGGTAAAAAATAAATTGTACAAGGACATGGGGTGGGTCATCCAAAAACTAGTTTTGGGGGCAGGTGGGAAGGGTTATTATGTTCAGTACATTAGTGCATCAAAAAAAAACCCCTCCTCCCCCCCCCCCCCCCCCCCCCCCCCCCACACACACACACACATATATGCACACCCTAATAAAGGTCCTGTCCCTAATATAAAGCATGAGTGAGTGAGTTGGGTTTTAATGCCACTTCAAACGCAGCATGTCAGCTTAATGTAGGAAGAAAGCCCAAAGAGAGCTGCAGGCCTCCGATGTTTACTTTTTTGGTGAAACCCACGAGCATGGATATGGTGATGATAGACCTAAGATTACGATCAGGGTCAATATGGCAACTGTTGGCTAGTGCTAGTCAGCTTTACTGCTGTCACTGGAAGCTGGTCTGGTGCTCATGCTCATTGATCAGAGTTTTTAAATCGGGAGTCTTTACTCAACCACCAAATTAGGCAAGGGCTTCATTTCAAAACCATGACTCTTACCTTTTTAGAGCGCCAGCATCGACAGTAGCTGACTTTGTCCCCTAGATCCTCAATGTCAACCATATTGACTACTTTAGCATTTTCCTTCTGTATCTTGAGGTTAACTGGGAAGTTCTTCTTTTCTACTTTGGGCTTGAAGGCTTGTACAGTAACATAGACTATGAGCGACACAGTTCCTACAAAAGGTATCAGAGAAAGCCAGTCTTGACCTGAAAGAAAATTATTATAATCATGATAACCCTCAGGAATGTAAACATGGCAAAAGATGGTCGGTCTTGGATGAGTCCAAAAATGCTACAAAGGTGCCTGACCTCGCCAGGATACCCGCTGTGGGTCTCAAGAGTTGGGTACAAAGTGTCTGATCGGGGATTGTTTCACCTGAGCCCTGGCAAAATTAATTTAGATATATGTATAAAACTATCTGATCATGCATACTCTGAAGTTGACTGAAGCTGTATCTTTACTTTGCATGCACATTCAGAAAGAAATGTGAACATTGGCGACTTGAAATGTAGTTATGGAGTTTTATTGCTTTTGTCATATAACACGGGTCTGGGTAGTTATCGGGTGTACCCAGGTGCTACTCCGGACCCATCCAACCTGAGTACCCAAGATACTCTTCCCAGCCCTCAAAGATGGTCACCTAAAATCAGAGTTGAATCATTGTTTTTTCATGATGCTATGCTGATTGCAGTGAAAAAAAAAATGACAAGAAAACTTTGATGCAATGCATCAACTAATTATCACGTCATTATTAAAATGGCAAACAAATTAAACTTACAATAAAATAGGTTTCCCAAAAGGATGGAAACATTTGAGCAAGTGATGTAAAATTAAGAGTAAAGCCAGTCCACATGGATCAAGTTGGTCCAGCATCATCTCGTTTAACATTCCTGACATAAACAAACAGTCAATGTCGCGAACCCATATCATACTAAATATTGTGCAAGTAATCTGGGCCGCAATCTGATACTTATAATACTGACACATGAAGGGTGCGAGGCACAAGTGAGAGTGATTATTGCTTAAAAGTACAGTACGTCAACGGATCTGGGTGTTTTTAAATCATGCATGAAATATTTTCTGGGTGTGAGTTCATGCATGATTCAATTCTTAAACCAAACCAACAGAGATCTGAACAGCGAAGCTGACAACCAAAGGACGAGCGTTTTTTATAAGATGAGGTGAAATGGGGTTTAACGATTATTGTACTTATATAGCGACATGCATGCACGTGTGTGTGCGTGCGTGCGTGTCCAGACTGATGCCGTTTTTATAGTGGTAGGCCACTGAGATATCATGTCGCAGTTTAACATGAATACCAACTCAGACAAAGTATGCGGACTCCCAGCCGACCAGTCCTTGTTTTTTTGCCCCCTAATGCTGAGTGCCAGACAGGGTAACAACAAGAACCATCTTTTAACGTCTTTTGGTAGGATGCGGCCGGGGGCCAGGGATCAATCCACAGACCTTCCGCTCTGTGGGCAGGCGCTCTACCACTATACCATGGTGGCGGTCTGACTTTTATAAGAGGCAAATTGAAGAGAAAGCTTGTGTGTTTTTCTTACAGATGAGTTACACAATACTAATTGCCATCTTCTTAGGATTACAAGCCTGTGTTTATCAAAGCATAGATTACAATATAAATGCCTTGGCCTCGGTCATGTGAAGCCAATCACTTTGCAGAACACTTTCATACCCAGAGTTCCTTATGGGCAGCCTAGTACCTCTGCCACATTGTCACATCTTACACAGTCCATTCATGATATGGCATAAATTGTTTGATTGGCATTTCTTAGACATTGATGGATGACAAAGTAGACAAAAAATTATTATTTTTCTATATTTTAATTGGATAACAACTTGCTTATAATACTGTAATAGTGATGTTTCCGTAAAGGCCCTTAGAAAGTTGTCATGCAAGACTGAATAATGAACATGGTACAGGATTATACACATGGGGGGTGAAGAACAGTAACAACGAATACCATTAATAATAACAACAGAAGGAAAATACAGTAACAACATGATGGACAGAGAACACACAATGATGAAGCCAATTAAACAGGAAGCCAATAAACATATTAAACTGGATTATAGGGGCACTGATCTACAGCAATTCCCCGGACTGGTTGTTGCCTTTGTTATTGTTTTTTCCCTGCGAGTACCCGGATGATATTGCAGAAATCTAGACTAGTTCGCGACCTGTGCTGTGCCACTCATAAGCGCATTTGTCACTTTTATTAATAGTGTAAGGGCATATGGTCACACTGATCAACAAAATGAAATACAGTTTTGGAAATAATAAGAAAATGTAGGTAACTTTGCGGGTAGCATCGGTAATGGTGACAAAGTTTTGATAACTCACTTGCTTAGTAGCTATGCGATTTTCAGTTACACTATTTTGACACAAAGTAAATATTTCACCTGAGCATTGCTTATTTTATCGTGTGTATATTTTTACTGTCAAAATGTGTAAAACTTTCACTTAGGAAACTTAATAAATGCCTAAATATTCAGTTATTTTACAAACTGATTGAAAAATATGTCCCTCTGTATTATTATGATAACGAATTCCAAACATTTTTATGTTAATATCATCAAGTGACTGAAAATGTTAGGATTAAAAGTACATTTCTATATTGCTTGGTTTCTAATCCTAGCATGATTAATATATTGTGATGTTTTTTAAGACCTTTTGAATGTCTTAATCATTTTTAGTCAATATGTTAAATAAATGGACAGATTTTTCAGTCTATTTGTGAAATGACTGAGTGCCTGAGTGAATCAGATTTTACACATTGACTGTAACATATACATGCTTACAAAGGAAAAGACTTGTGAAAACAACGTCTATCTCGCAGCGAAGAACATCCGAACCAAGACATAGAGAAAGAATGTTTCTGTTCATTGCTACAGCAAATGAATGAAAATAAAATAAATTCATAATTTTAGGCAGCTACCTTGTTCGAGGAATGTACCCGTGAATATCCACATAAAGGAACAATATCCCATACATTTGCAGCTGTACAAAGAAACTTATTCGATATTACGGGTCTCTGTAACGATCACATATTTTTAAACATATATAGCGTTTCGGGATATTATAACCCGTGTTCGTTTCTCAACTGATCACTTACTTTGTTTCAGTTGTTTCACATAGGTGCTAAGCCTCAAAGATCACCTGAGAAAGCCCTCGTGACAACTATTTTCATAATGTCCACGGTTCTTAAAAGAAATCCATTGAGTTAGATACAAATGAGCAATCAATCAACATAGTATTGGTTAACCCTTTGAACAAAGTATGTTGTTTTTACATCGGCACTTCACGCCCTGATATGAGTGTATTCTGTCTGCTTTAGTAAACCTTCACATGTAAACACTATCTTTTGACATAGCCACTGTGCAAAATAACAGTGATTAATCAATCAGCGTATTTTCTGTTGATCCTTTGATGCCTAGGAATGATCCGTTGATTTACAATAAAGTACATCAACTGATCATTCATCTTTTGCTGTGCTACCCCATGTGCATATTACATAATACACATTTCACCTGACTTCAAACCTGGATTTAGATTGAATAATTACCCCAGACACAAGAAATGCCAAATGGGAACCTTTATCAGATAATCTAAGTGGTGCTACCACTAATTATACCTGTAATAAATTCATTAACTGAGCATCAAGTGAATGACAACAAATACACAAGTGTAGGGTTGTACCAGAAAACATGGATGACAAGGGAGTAGTAATTATATTATCTGCTTTCACTGCAGGGATACTTATTTTTATCATTAAACTATAACCATCAGGGGTATTTCCAAATAACGACATCCGATGAGCTTCTACCGTTCTTTTTGTCTGTTTTTTTTTAGGTTGAAGAAATTAATTAACATGCGCCCTTTGTCGATCTTTTCATAGATCACGGGTAACCAATCGTTGTTCAAAAATGTGTATAACAAATATTGCCTCCAAGTCCTTGTAGATGGTAGCCCAGTTTTTGGTCACGCTCAGTTGCGATAGCAAGCAAATTGACTCATGGCAGCTAGTGAGCCCTAGCAGGCAGTGTGAGACGCCCCGAGAAGAAGCCAGAGATTAGTGCCCCTTTAAGAACTCATCAAGCAATAGTTTTTCCAACCTCCCCACCTAGTACTTCATATTCATAAATATGACAACATGAAATGACAAGTATTCAGAGCTCCAGATAAGCTTTAGGTGTTGTGGGTATTTTACCCATGCATTTTAAAATCACTGGGTATCAGTTATTCTATCTGGGTCTTCAAATTTCTGTTACCCACTAGTTTTTACACATGTGGGTTTTAAAGTTAAATATTTAAAAACACTATTCATCTAGTCCCTGCAAACTGGTGTTGTGTGGGTTCGAGAGCTTTATAGGACTCAAAAATACGACGATACTTCCACAAGAAAGTGTGATGATCATGATGTAACTGTCATCGTGGAATTCGGCAAGGTTGACCAAATGCCCGTTTATAATTTCAAAATAAGTTGCTGATTTGCCAATCGAATACGCAGGGTTACTTCACAATATTTTGAATATACGCACAAGTTTTATTTTTGTAGCGTATCTGTAATGTTCGTTGCATATTTGATACGCTTGGATATTATTTGAATGCGTATTTCTGCATTTCTGATGCGTATTTTACTCAGATACGCAGCTTATCTGGATCTCTGGTATTTCTGTGTGGAAGGTGATTCGTTCTAAATGTTATAAAACACGAGAGTTTCAAAATGTACAAGTGCATGAGGCAAAATGTACAAGTGCATGAGGCAAAATGTACAAGTGCATGAGGCAAATTGTCTTCCGTAGTGCTACTTATTCTATGCTTATAGACATAACACTAGCCAGAATGACAGTACAGACTGAACGCACGGGTGTTTTGGATAATAGGGAAGTTCCCCGTTAGGCCCAGCATTAGCACGATTATGCAATAAATATACAGATGCTGAACGTAGTAGGAACAGCGACATGGGACGAAAGGCAAATTATCAGTCAGGAAAATCAAACGACAAAACTAAATACATGTTGTTTTCGTCTCACATTTGCGACACCATAACTAAACCAGCAGCCGGCGTCAGGGCGCATGATTCATGGTAGACGTGACACATTGAAATAGCAATATAATTGAAGTGCACCTAATACCCAGGGGTTTCGTGTCAGTTTAGATAACCTTGGCCTTTCTCATCATCGTAGAGTGTATACTAACCCGTCAAATTTGCAATACCACCAAAAGAGTCTGGTATTGGTAGGTTTTTCAAATAAGTTGGCAACGAAACTCTGACCAAGGTTGATACAGACTCCATCTTGACACCGTGTGTGAAGACGAGGTTGCTGAAATGTATAAAATACGAACTGCATCCGAGTAAACCTCAAACGAACTACGAATGTGTGAAAAATAACATCGTTGTGATGTTTTGCAGATTAACATCAAATAATAATGGTGATAATGAAGCACCTTCGAAATCACATTAAACTATAACATCTATGTAAATTTAAGTTCAACAAAACAAACTTTTATTTACTATAATTCCACTTTTCCAACATACATGCAAATTAAAAAACGTCACAAATTCATTAACTGGAAAAGTAACACATAAAGGATATTTATCAATTAAAACATGGCTCCTTTTTCTTCTACTTGCATTAACTAACTGAATAGTAAATGAATACTACTTGGCAATGAAGGAACTGCTCACGGCGAGATTAAATCATGTAGATAACAATGAATAGTTAATCCGTTTATTAACGGGTATGTTTGTGATTTTGCCATTACATGTGATATGGTTGCCTTTTGTTAAAATTACTCTTTTCTTGTTCAGGGTTATAATTGCTTATACTAGGCCGATCAACATGCGCAAATAATAGGCATGCGACTGATAAATGTGCTCAAGTTGGGCCAATATCAATTGTATACTTGACCTGGGACGTGCATTTCATAAGCCGAGTCGCCTTCGCGCGTGTAGTCTGTTGCACAGGCCTTGACACAAATATCCGATAAAGCCCAAGCAGGTCTATATATGATATTTGGCAAGTCTAGATTACTGCAGCATCAGAAAAAGGAGAAAGTATTTCGGTCGTTTTGATTATATTTTATAACTATAATTTAACAACTGCTGTTTTCTGTAAAATATGTTCATTTCAGAGACTAGATGTTTGTCTGAAGTGCGAGATACACGCGTGCCAAAGGCACGGACAGTATTTTCACGTACATCACGTAGAGGCGACTCACTCATGCTGCGTTCTTATAGTCAAGCCCTGGTTTCTTGTTTAAATACCGTTATCAAAACACTCTTGTTTAAACATTTTAAGTGCTAAGATTCTATGAATATTGGCCATGGTTTAAATAAGGTAGAGCACTCGGATCTAATCGTTGAAATAGTAAATATAGCTATCTTTTATCAGAATTTATTAAATAGATGGATATAACGGAACAAATACAAGCGCATTAAGTTATGTTATATTCGTTGTCTTTTTGAAAGTTGTTTCAGTAGAAGCCCTCACTTTGAGGGGGACATTCCATGAATATGAAGAATTGGAGTAACATTACTTATCATAACTTGATTCAATATATGTAGGTCCTTTAGAGTATTGTATTACCAGGAAGTATATACTTGAATGAAAGAGATTGTCATGCAGTGTGTATGTCTTGACAGATCAGTCCTTCACATTTCGAATCATGGACCCAAATGCATACTTCAAACATTTTAAGTCCTTGTCTCGTGTCCATCATGAAATAATAGCGATCACATGTCACCCCGCTCAAATATCAACATGTTTTTTGTGTATATGTGTACAAATAAGCCAACTAAAAGAAGTGTATATACGAACCAGCCAACGAAAAGTGTCTTTATCTCGTCTGGTTTAGCCAAGTAATGAACGAGTTATCAGATTAATGAAGGGTTAGTCGGATCATCCAAAGGCTATGAACGGGTCAGCCAATTTGTTTATGAACGAGTCTCTGAGTGAGCGAGTTTACTAGTTCCCGCTAATATTAAAATAGTGTTATTTGAAAGAATATTGGACATGAGTTTATGATGGTCGTGATTCCACTGAAAGTTGTGTGTAATCCGTCAACACTCCTTTATGGTGACCCTTCTTATAAAACACTTAGATGAACATACACTAGCCAGGCGACATAAATATAGTGTGGTGCCTTCAGTATCCACGATCAACTAGTTAGAACTAAATTAGACACATATTATTTAGTGATGTCTAGAAATTCATTGAAGCGTACATATAATACGTGCTTAGTCGTCAAAACGAAAGAAAGGTCGTACATTTTACTTCTCGTGGGCGGAACTTTTTTCGCGAAGAAATATAGTGCTGATATTAGACATCTATTTTAGCTATTGTCTGTTTAGGAATGTTATAGGGTATCAGCATCATGTCGAATATTGTCTCTAGGAAACACTGGAATAATTTAATGGTGTTTTTTTCGTCAATATAAACCACTAAGAAACAAGCACTGTGAGTGATATATTCATACGCTGGACAAGTGAATCAGCTGCAGTTCTCTGAAAACACTGGACGATATTTTGTGAAAACTGAAGAAAATGGCTTTGAAACGAATTAAAAAGGTAACTATTTTCATATTTGTGGCTACAAGAACGAAGTTCGTGTGGATCCACGTTGAGGAACCAGGAAAACGATGGTGATCGAATTTTTTTCTTCCCGATGCCTGACAAACAAGCCCAATCGTAATGTCATTTTCACAACAAAACGAAACGAAATCTTGTTCTGATCACATAATACGACAACGAAAGTTTACATATGATATACCACGTACATCGAATAAACATCACCAATACGAAAAACGTATGTACTATGAATATTAAATGTTTATTGATTCGTGACATAACGTGTCGTGAATTTTTAGTTGTCTTTTTTTAATATTATGTTTAGTATCATGAATTCAACAGTCGTGAATAGTCAACAAAGCAACTAGCACTGTTCACGCTAATACCAACGGTATTAACAAGTTACTGTTCATCTCCTGTGACAATTAATGTTCATTTTGGGTAATTGATTACCATAAAAAAATGTAGATCTATATATTATTTTAACCATATAGATCTAAGAAGTTTTGTTAACCATGTTAACGGAGTACAGCACTTTACCATGTTTACTGGGCGTACCTTTTCAGATTTCAATTTGTGTCAGACAGGATTGAAGACCTGTTACCAGCTTGAAGCTAAGGCAGACTAATAAGTTAATCTAATTAGCCAATACTTTGCCATGGGACCACAGGCACTAATACAAGTAATTAGTGCTCGTTTACCTAGTGAAAAGCACCTGATTGTTTACCTTGATGTGTATGTGCAGTAACCATATTTCTCTGTGAAACTCAAATTTGTTAAAAATTGTCCAGATTTTCCTCAAATTACATTGGATTTACTTGTTATAAGAGATAGCTAACCATACCCTAACTCTGTCTCACAATTAACCCTAAGGATCATAAAGAGATACCTAACCCTGAAGATTATAAAGGGGTGTTTGATGGATGGTCCCAGGCAATGGCATCACTAAAATGTGCTCATTTCATTTCTCACATTATATGTCTCTTTATATACAAGTAAAATCATTAACATTGTTAAAAAGTGCAACCTTTATTCTTATTGTCAACTGTGGGTGATACTGTGGGTGATACTGTGTGCCTTTCTCACATGTTGACATCTATCAATACTAAAGTCATCATACACACTGTACAATACTTGGCACAATACTTAATTTGCACTTTTGTTTCGTGAAATTCACCGGACTAATAGTTTATGCAACATATCTAGATTTGGGTAGAAACATCCACCACATTTGCCATAATAAGCGCCCTTGGAACTTTAATAACAGAGACAGGCGCTTATCAAAACCATACATAGAGATGGCACTGTAATTAGGAAAGTTCAAATGGCAATGAAACTTTGATAATAGTTACAAGGCAGTTATGTAAACCTTCTGCACTGCTGTTTTCTGTAAAAATACTGTAATGTACACACAAAAATATGGTCTGTCATGTAAACATTTACTCTGAAAAGGGAGCACTTACAAAGATTATTTACCGATTCGTCTAGAAGTTGGTCAGGGTGTGATTATTGGAGCGGGGTGCTTAATTTGGTGAATATATCGTTAAAATGGTTATTGAGTTGAATAATTGAGTCTGGTCCCGACAAGCCAGTGATTGATAATGATATCATGAGCATTGATCTATGCAACTGGGATACGATGACATGCATCAACCAAGTCAGTGAGCCTGACCACCTAATCCCATTAGTCGCCTCTTACGACAAGCATAGTCGCTTTTTTCGGCATTTTTTTTCCATTTGTGGACCAACTACTAGTCCACAGGTATAAATGGACCAGTAACACAAATAATCAAGTGGTTTACTCAAAGCGTCATACACAAATATTTCTCGAGGCAGTTCATCTATGTGCGATAATGTTTGAGTTAACTCACAACAGCAATGACATCTTGTTTGTTTGGCCTCTTTACATCATGTACATTGTTTAGTGATATTGATTTTCGTCCCAATCTTCCAAGTTGATTACACTTCAAGCTCCAAGACTATCATCATGGTCATGGGTAGGGATGTTTAATGTGTAGTGGTACGGATGTCTAAATATATGTCAAATAACGATCTGTGGATTTTTAAGTATAGTGGTACGGATGTCTAAATATATGTCTAATAAAAGGCAGTGAATTTTAATATGTAGTGGTATGAATGTCCAAATATATGTCTAATAAAAGGCAGTGGTTTTTGAAGTGTAGTGGTATGGATGCCTTAATTAGTTAAGCGCCACCCTATTCTTTTATATTACTATAGGTAATCTGTCATGAAAGAATCGGTTGGTCTTTAACATTTTTGGAGTAGTATTTGTCCAACAACAATTCAGTTTTAGCTCTAGTATGAAATATTCAATGACATATTTTGTTGTGGACAGGTTGACTTTTTTAAAAAAAAGTCAGCCAGATATTTGTGCACAGGTCAGCAAGATATGCGAACATGGTGTAAGGGTCCTCTAAAATCTGTGTAGGATTAAAGGGCAAGTTCACACGGAAATGAACCAATTTTTCTTGTACTTTTTCCACATTAAAAGTGTTAACATAGAAGTGTCATAGACAAAAATATAAAAACATCATATTTAATTAACATATTTTTTGCATTAAAACGATTTATATTTTTCACATTTACCAAGTGTTCTATTTCCATAACAAAAACACCATGGCTTATGCCCCTTGCAATATGACGTCATTGGTGCCAATTGATAAACATTATGACGTCATCATGCTTTGTTAGAGCCGCTTCACGTGGTGTAGGTACAGTTTTGTGATTCTAGCGTCTCAGATGCCAGCCAGAATTGTGTTATGCTGAGTCACCACTGCGCCGGAGTGTGTCGTAGACCATGTTGTTTTACCGCAAACTGGTCCTTGATATCTTTTGCGTTGAGAATAGACAGGGACCCAGTTGAATTGGCACCAATTACGTCATAATCTAAGGGGGATAACTCAGGCCTATTTCGCTCGTAAAACGAAGGCCTCATAACGACATATCATTTTAACACTATTGTGAGCTTCCTACTTTCACTGTGAAAAAAATGAGCGTATATTTTCAAACACAGATACTAACTAATTCTAAAATTGCGTTTTGTTTTAGAAAAAGAAAGAAAGTGATTTTTGCGTGTACACTTCCCCTTTAAGGTACTTTTTGTGTATACCAGTTTTGTCTTGGACTTGTGACTTGTAATATAAGTCTTCTAGTACAATTCAGGAAGGATTAATATACACATAATTTGCATGCGGATTGTCACTTTTACCATTAGGTAGATGGCAACTCTAGCATGTCTTCTGAACACAAAAAATAATTTCTAAACCTGGCACAATCATGATGATACATTAGCCTTCTGATCATGTTGATGTGTTAGGCATTCCTGAATAAAGCAACCCTTGGAAGAACTAAGATAAGTTAAGATTCTATGTCTGTTTCTGTTCAACAACTTGAAAAACCTTGTCTTTACAATTTCAGGAACTCCTAGATTTTGAGAAAGACCCCCCTGCTGGTTGTTCTGCTGGTGCAGAAGATGGAACTGATTGTGAGTTTGTGTCTCAATTCCGCTATTCATCACTATCAACTATGCATCATTTCCACAGGTTCATTTTGGAAAACCAAAATATTCTACCATGATTGTAGCTTGTAGAATTTCACTGTGAAAGTTCATAGCACATTCCTTGTCTGTATCATATGAATACTGTAAATCTATAAAGTTTTGCTTGCAAAAAAGTACTGCAATTGCTAGGACATCACAGATTATCCAGTGTTAGAAATTGGCACTAGTCCTGTAGTCCTTGCCATACTTCCCAATAATTAAGGTATCATAATGACTAGTAGAAATTTGCCATTTTTAAGGGTTTTACTATATGTTATCATTATAAGGACTAGTGGTCTAAATATGTTAGTTTCTATCCCTGGCTTATCATGTTTATTGTGTAATCTGTTATTTAACTGTTTCAGTATATCGCTGGCAGGCTGTTATACAGGGCCCAGTAAGTTGACAATCTATGTCCTCAGTTTCTGACACTTCTTACTTTCTTTACACTGCTTAGAACTGATGTTTGTGTACATGATGTGAAGTAACAAAATAATTTTGTCATGGTGACAAATTAAGTGGTCCTATTGGAAGTTAGCGCGTTATGAGAATGCTTATCATTTATCATAATAAAATATTTTCAATTCACTTAAAAGTCAATAAGTTACTTCCGTGACTACCTGTGAAGATCCGGGGTAGAATAGGTCTTCAGCAACCCATGCTTGTTGTGGCTATGCTTGTCGTAAGAGGAGACTTACAGGAATTGGTGGTCAGGCTCACTGACTTGGTTGATGCATGTCATTGTATCCCAATTGAGTAGATCCATGCTCATGTCAATCACTGGATTGTCAGGTCCAGACTCGATTATTTACCATGTTTACAGACCGCTGTCATATGGCTGGAATATTTCTGAGTGCAGCGTTAAACAACAAGCAAACAAAACAAACATTTCTTTGTCACACTATTTTTTTCATTTGTGTTTAATGCAGCTCTTCATTGGTATGAAAATGTTTCCTTCCAAATGTGAAAACACTGCTATGATAGTCTGACAGTCATGAATATACATGTTGATTGTAGGAGGACAGTCCATATGATGGTGGAGTATTCAGTCTCTCGATCCAGTTTCCAACCGACTACCCATTTAAACCTCCTAAGGTAATTACTGCAATAACATTAGCATGTGTCATCACAAGAAGTATTGACGGTTAAAATAGAGTAAAATGCTTTGGTTGAGGTAAGTATTATGTTATGCTGAGGTAGACAATTTTCATTCTATTTTTCTTATTGATTCAGTTTGACACATTAAAGTTTTGCAGATCTCATCACTGTTATATTTTCCAAGTGTATTTTCTCTACCTGCCACTGTATGATTAGTCCCCACAACAAAGTTGGGCAGGGGACATAGGAACAGAATTCAACCGTCCGTCCCCTTCTCAATGATGACAAATGTTCTCAAAAGTTATTTGGGGGCATGGGTTGCCCAGTCGTCAAAGGCGCCGCGATTCGCTGTGCAGAGTTGCGTCTCTTGGGCACCTATGATTGTGGGTTTGAATCCAGGTTCACCACAATTATGTTTCTAGGTTTGTCAGAACCATACTAGTGCTCTTGGGTTTCACCAAAGTGGTAAACGTCTGAGACCTGCATCACTTCAGGCTTTCCTCACACATTAAAGCTGACACGCCGTGATATAACTGGAATACTGTTAAAAGCGGCGTTAAACCAAACCCAACTCACTCACTCACTCAAAAACTGATGTTACTGGTCATGATGAGTTCTAAAATTGGTGTCCTAGGCTTAAAAAAAAAATTAAAAAATGGTTCTGTGAGGGTAGGGTTCGTTTCCGGAGCATAACTCATAAACCGTTCAATATTTTTTCATCTAACATTGCAGGTCTGTCAGGTACTTGCTGAATTGGTGCCTTTTGCTATTAAGAAATTTTAGAAATATTTATTTTTTACGTTTCCATTGCAACAAGATAGACTTAGGTTCTGTGAGGGTAGGGTTCGTTTCCGGAGCATAACTCATAAACCGTTCAATATTTTTTTATCAAACTTTGCAGGTTTGTCAGGTACATGCTGAACTGGTGCCTTTTGCTATTGAGACATTTAAGAAATATTTATTTTTTACGTTTCCATTGCAACAAGATGGACTTAGGTTCCAAACTCATCTTTTTTTTAAAAATTTCCATGACAAGTTCCACCCCGGTTAAAAAAGGTTAGGGTTTGTTTAGATTTAGTTATGTCATAAATTCTGCAACAGGGGCGGGGGATATAGCCACCTTAGTAGCAAACTCTTGTTTTACTTAGTGCATGGTGGCTAAAATTTGGCCCAAATTGTAATGTTTCCTGTGGCAGGAGATGGTAATAATGCTGTTTTCTTATTATCTCCTGCCCAACGAAGTTGGCGGGGGATATAGAAACGGGCTCCGTCCGTCCGTCCGTCCGTCACGTTTTGTTTCCGGAGCATAACTCATAAACCGTTCAATATTCTTTCATCAAACTTTGCAGGTCTGTCAGGTACATGCTGAACTGGTGCCTTTTGCTATTGATAAATTTTATAAATTTTTATTTTTTACATTTCCATGGCAACAAGATGGACTTAGGTTTCTTTGAGGGTAGGGTTCGTTTCCGGAGCATAACTCATAAACCGTTCAATATGTTTTCATCAAACTTTGCAGGTCTGTCAGGTATATGCTGAATTGGTACCTTTTGCTATTGAGAAATTTTCGAAATTTTTATTTTTTACGTTTCCATGGCAACAAGATGGACTTAGGTTCTGTGAGGGTAGGGTTCGTTTCAGGAGCATAACTCATAAACCGTTCAATATTTTTTCATCAAACTTTGCAGGTCTGTCAGGTACATGCTGAACTGGTGCCTTTTGCTATTTAGAAATTTTAGAAATATTTATTTTTTTATCTTTCCATGGCAACAAGATGGACTTAGGTTCTGTGAGGGTAGGGTTCGTTTTTTTTTTTACAATTTCCATGACAAGTTCCACCTCGGTTGAAAAAGGTTAGGGTTTGTTTAGATTTAATTATGTCATAAATTCTGCAACAGGGGCGGGGGATATAGCCACATTAGTGGCAAACTCTTGTTAAATCTGGCTTTAAACCACTTGTCGTTGTGATCTTTATTTCAAATCAGTATCTTGTATAAATACAGTCAAAGGTTTTTCCAATATAGCTACTGAGCATACTGATTTTTTTTCTAAGTTTATATGTGGAATGTCATGCATGAAGTACACAATAATACAGGAATAATGATATTGATGTCAAATTCATTGTCTTTTTCAGCTTGCGTTTTTAACGAAAATCTATCATCCTAATATAAACAGTAATGGAAGTATCTGTCTAGATATACTCAGGTCACAGTGGTCCCCAGCTCTCACAGTATCAAAAGGTAATTATCGTGACACAATATTCCCTTCACTACTTTTAAATTTGAAGATGAAAGATGATTCCATGAAAGAAGAGGTTCCAAGTATTCCCTGGGGCGGTCGGGTAGCCTAGTGGTTAAAGCGTTCGCTAGTCACGCCGAAGACCCGGGTTCGATTCCTGACATGGGTACAATGTGTGAAGCCCATTTCTGGTGTCCCCCGCCGTGATATTGCTGGAATATTGCTAAAAGCGGCGTAAAACCAAACTCACACACTCACTCCAAGTATTTCCCTGCTTCTTGTTGTAAGAGCTGACTAAAGTCTAGAAGAGAGGTTAGAGTGGTTAGGTTCAGTCTCTTGGTGACTGGGGTGAACAGATCCCCTCGTTCGTTCATAGTTCAGTATCATATTTCTGTTTGATAATGATTGGCCCTCAAGGAAACTGCGCCAATGTAGGACTTACAACATGCTTTATATTAATGTACCAGTCTCTTCCCAAAACTCATATTGTATCGAAAGTGAAGCCAATTTATGCCCCCTCCATTATGTTGCTGGAATATTTCAGTGTTTTCATCTACCGGTAAGTGTCAGTAATTTACCGGTAAAATAGGCCATGTACCGGTACGCTTTTACACTAGATGTCCAGAATATTGAATATGATGCCGGTCCAGTGAACTGGTACATTTATTACTGAACAGATACACTGACTGTGTAAAACCTCATTCACTCTCTCACTCAAATCAATATAAAGCTATGGTATTCCAGACCTAATGCACCAAACTGACAAGAGTATCTGTTGTTGCTGTCATTATATGCTTTGTGTTCTTTTCTTCAGTTTTATTGTCCATCATATCCCTGCTGACTGACCCCAACCCTGATGACCCCTTGGTTCCTGAAGTGGCGAAGGTGTATAAAGTGGACAGAAAAAAGTATAACAAGACAGCGAAAGAATGGACAATGAAATATGCTCGAAGCTATTGATGTTTGTAGAGTTCAAGAGTTGAATTTAGTATTGTCGGAAGTCAAGGACTCAATTCTGTCCAGAACAGTAACGAAAAACATTTTTGAAGATGGGATATTGAATGAAAGCACGCACACTTTCCACTCACTCAGTGTACACTCATGGCTGATTGATGTCTTAGCTTTTGCAGTTTGGAAAGAATCAGTTGTCATTTGGAGAAATTTTCAAATACTGTAAGTGTTGCAGGGTTAGATATTAACACTGGCCTGTTAGCTCATGTCACTGTGTGATGTTTAATTATGCCAAGAGCTGGTAGAATTTATAAATATTTGGGTTTACTTATTTGTTAACACTTTTGAGCACTGTAGACTTTCCAAGTTGATTTTTACTCCTTTGACCCCTTAATATGTAGCCTTACTTTCTTGATTTAATACTGGAAACAAACATGTCATGTATAAAGACTATTGGTTCTCTGGCAATGAGCTTAAAGAGTTTTGTGCGTGCAGCCTCATTTTTCATGTTTAGAAAAAGTGTCTTACTTTGCCATGTTGGTTTGAAAATTATTTTATAGTGTGGAAGGTCTCATTTCCAAGGTTTGTTATGATAAAGGAAAAATTTAAGTTAGGACCAGTTATCAGCCAATAAACAAAAGGGATGTCTCAAGATGTCTGAAAAGAATCTGTACATCTGATAAAGATGGTGCATTTATTTGAAATATCTGACTTTGTGGTTGTAATACAAAATGTTAAGTAAGTGTGAATATGAAATACTGCTCGTGTAAGAATATGTAAAGACACTAAGGCCATAACAAAACTATTCCAATCAGGTCTTTCACCTTTAATGCCTGTCTTTTTAACCAATCGAAGCAATGGCTGGAACCAAGGTCATTATGATTTTGAGCCAAATTGTATTTATGATGGTAGAATTTGCTTGTTTTAAACTTTGAAAAGAGAACATATTTTGTTTATGATCTGCACTAGTCATTGGAAATAGCACCAACTTCTTTTGAAGCACCAGTGAAAATATTGAAATGGAGTGATTTTGTGTGGTCATTGTAAATTAACAGTACTTTGTGTCATCCCCATGGTGACTATATGATTGTGTTGCTCTGGTTAGTGTATTTTCACGTTTTATTGCACATGATGCTTTAAAGTAATTACCGTATTCGACGTAATAAGCGCCCTGCTCTAATAAGCGCCCATGGCGATATTTGCTAATATATTGGCTAGTGAACAATCCCATTTAGCACCCCTTCCAATTGATCAATGTACACAAGACTTATTTATTCGCGTATAATACACACTCCCCTGAATTATGGGGAATTTAATTCTGGAAAAATATATCAGTCATACATAAACATTTCAGGCTGTCGGCATAAACCACGAAATTTATCTTTCAACTCTATTTTTTTCACCAAAATAATATTCTAATATGAACCCCCTATTCCTAATTTTGAGAGCGCCCTGGGCACTTATTACGTCAAATACGGTATATGTCAAGTCTCAAGTTTTGTGAGAATAAAATGACCAAATATGACCTCGACTGACTTTGCACAAAGATTTCAACTATGACCCAGCATTAGAAATTGGCACTTGTCCTGTAGTCCTTGCTGAACTGCCCAATAGTTAAGGTATCATAAGGACTAGTAGAAATTTGCCATTTTTAAGGGTTTTGCTATATGTTATCATTATAAGGACTAGTAGACTAAAACTGTTAGTTTCTACCACTGTGACCTGGATCCTGTTTCTAGCTCGGCAGATTTTCTTGTTAAGATTTTTAAACACTTGAAATTAAGACATTTGATCTATGGTCTGTTCTAGTCATTGGGTGATCTAATCAGTTTGTTATGGTGTGTAGTATGTTACATGTGTTCAACTGTTATGATCTCTCACAAGTGTGCTTTACATATGGCGCAATTTGGACCTTGGTCTGATTATGATGGAAACGTTTCTGGAATTGTTGTTTTCAGGCTATATGATAGAGACCTTTCTGTGTAATCTATCATGATTCTGTGATGTATTACCATGTCCACCATTGTTCAAGATCAAATCTTTGCTTTTCACCCATGGAAATGACTTTTGAAGAAAATGATGCTGCAAGCAGCTTCTTTGTCTTTGGAAGATGGGTACAGCCGGGAGTTTTATCATTTGTTTGAAAGCATATGTGAACTTTTGTAATGATGGGTTTTACTGATGTGCAGCCTCAGCCAATGTTAAGTTAGCATCTTATTGTAGAAGACCTGCAAATGAAAAAATTAAGATGTGTTTAAAAAGATAGAAATATGTGTTATTTGTCAAATTTGCACACCATTAGACCAAGAAGCTCTTATATACATCAGTTCACACACAATACTTTTATCTGTTATTAGATGACCAAGCAAGAAGATGCAAGTTATTGTTCTTCCAGTGGCTAGTTGTCTTTTGGGGTGCTTGGAGGTCTCATGATGGACACATCATTTATGTATGCTTCAGCTATCTGGCCTTTGTGTGTACAGGGGCAGTGGGGTAGCCTAGTGGTTAAAGCGTTCGCTCGTCAAGCCGAAGACCCGGTTTCGATTCCCCACATGGGTACAATGTGTGAAGCCCATTTTCTGGTGTCCCCTGCCATGATATTGCTGGAATATTACTATAAGCGGCATAAAACCATACTCACTCACTCTTTGAGTGTACATTGACACATTTTGACATTTCTGTCTTTTTGGACACATCTTAGATTGTTTCATTGGCAAGCCTGTCATGCATTGGATTGAGATGATTTTATGTTTGGTGACTTTCTCAACAAGCTTGGTACAACTCTACATCAAATGGTTGTGTCAAAGCATTCAAACTGAATCTGTTGTTGAATGGCTAATCCTCCTTAGTTTCAGCCTCTCAACAGAATGAAATTTATATTAAGCTTGTTAATTATATTTAGTCGTTCTACACTGAGTGATGTGAGCCCTGTACATTCCATACCCTTTAGACTGTATGTGCATGCTGCATAGGTTTAATAATAAATACTTATGCTTTTGAGTTAAAAATGCAGTGAAGTATAGATAAGGTCAAAATAAATTAATTGTTAGATTTTCCTTTAAAAAAATATTGTAAGGCAGGAGTTCATTTTAATTTTTAATTTTCTCAAACAAACTGTTCAATACGTCGAAGTACATTGACTGTTGATGAATGTGATGTACTTGAAGCATGATGTTTTGCAGGACTATGTCTATGTTGTATTGCATAATTTTGTCATCAAGTTTAGGAAGAAGGGAATGCATATGGAGATGTAGTGTGGACAGTAAAAGGAGGTGAGGTGGGATGTTTGAGAGTGAGACCAGGGGGATGAAATTATAATGATTAATTTATTATGGCCTAGCACTGCTGTATGACTTTCTTGTAAGTCGGATTCAATGTGAATCCTTTTTTTAGGATGTTGCATAGAACAGTATCCTGCTATGACTGTCAAATATTCATGCTAAAATACAGCAATTCGGACAGTGGTTTTACAGACGTGCACTTTAAGGAAAATAATTCATAAAGTGGCAGAGGGATACATTATTGAAAATAAGGAGCATGATACAATGTGAAACAATTTCCCTTGGTGGAGTAAAGACTTGCCCTTTCAACATGCAATGATTATGATGCTCTTCAGCGAAGGTGATTATACACTGTTCTTGAAGCGGTCAAATTGTGTAAATCACAAAGCCCTGCTGTTTATCAGCAATGTTGCCATTGTCAGGACCTTATAGTGTGAATAGGTGAGACCATGCATTTGTTTTAGGTTGGGACTTATAGCTTGTTTAGGAGAGGTGTTAAACATGGTCCTTGTTTGGATATACTATTACATACAGACAGGAATGTTCAGTTCTTTCATGATTTTCAAAAAACTGTTTTGTGCTGGCCAGAGCTCTACAGCGCCTGTACATTTCATGTGTAAATATATATGTATATATATATAGATCTGATGACTGTACTCTGTATGTATCTAGTTTTTTATTGATGTTTTGACCTCAGTATTATTTGTTTCCCAATCCTGTAGTGCTTTGAAAGTATTCTTAATGTAAAGGTTACTGATAGCTATTGAAAACAGCAAGATGGCTATAGTCATGAATAGTGGCGATTTGGCCAGATAGCTTTTAAAACTGTAGCATTTTTAAACTGACGGATTGAAGATGTATCATATGTGGTTTTAATGAGTCCACAGGATGATACATAAATGGTATGACTTGAGAATCAGGTTACAAATACGTATATATTAGTCTTCTTACATGACCTTGATCAGTTAGATTATTGTGATGTTACTTGTAAGATCAATGTCAAGGATTGTTCACTGTACTAAAACTACCCTACCTCCAAACCAGCTGATCTAAACTATGTGTGATATACCAAATGTGGTCTAAGCATATATCCTGGCCAGAGTGCACAGTATCAATGTTTGAGGCATTAATTAAACTTTTATCAGAGGAAACAAATACATGTAGGAGTTCAAGAGAAGGAAGTGTGTGTGTGTGTGTGCAGGGGGGTCTTTAGGTCTAAATAAAGCATACTTGACACCGGCGTTTTAACCAAAGAAGATTTGTTTCTTATTTCCACCATCATTATTACCTTTAAGGTATATTAAAAAATGTGTGTGGATGATTCAGTGCAAGCCAAAACAGAAATTTGCAAAAGCTCCAGTCAAATTTAGTGTTCGTGCCTACTATACTGTTGTAACTATTTACTGATTATTTTATTATCGAATATTAATTTTTGTTGGTGTATACAAAGAGGTAAACAGTTATATACATGTAGGCTTATTGTCCTTGTGAATAATTTACTTTTATAATATTCTTTAGAATAAGATGATTTAATTTTTTGATCCAAGTTAAACCATATACAATTAGTAAACAAAAATATGATGTACATGCAGATATGTGAATTTGTCATGCAAAACATGAATTTATACCTTTTCTTCATGGGTTTGAAAATAGTATGGGACTATTCAACCGATAGTTTGAGCATGACATCAACAGCTTTGGACGTGATAGATGGCATTTTATTCCAAATGTTTTTTTACAGAGGAATACTTTCAGCACTGTATCTTTGAACAGTGTTTGTAGTTCTGTGATGATTGACAAAGGTGCTTTTATATTCGTTGTTTATTGTATTTGTTTATATTTATTTGCTGATCACTTTTGCTTGCTTGAGAACCTGCTTGCCAGTAATGTACACATAGTTGATTCAAGGGACATAACACCATAGTCAGTGAACTGGAGTAGCTTCCCCTTCTGTAGTTATTCAGTATGAATATGTTGGGTGCTCATAGTCAGATGTTCAAAGTTGTGTCATTTGCAGGTTCTAACGATTCTGTGTCGGTCAGTCTGATTGAACAGACGTTTGTTTACCATAACTTACAACTGACTGCGGGTTAGAATTGACCCCTTCAGCAACCAAATGGATCGGGTTGTCAGGCTCGGTGACTTGGTTGATTGTGTCATTGTCTTATGACGACGTGGATTTGTCTCTCGCAATATTAATTACAGGACTGTCTGTCCCAGACTCGATTAGGTACAGTCCGCGGTCATATAGCTGGATTATTGCTGTGTGCTGCATTAAACAAGCAAACAACTACCACTGAACCATGACTGTCCACTGAAAATCTTACATCTTCATATATGTCATGTGTACGATTGTTCTATCAGAAGTGTATATTTAATACATCATGGTTATTTACTATGTCTAATTTAGATTTTTGTCAAACCCATTTTTGAAGCGAAAATAAAGTATTGGTAAAGTCTTAGACTTTGTTCTATTCTATATATGACAATGGCTTTCATGTTTATGGATTTTAACATATATGTTCAACGCCAATATTCCAATTTGCAGGAGTTAAATGAAATTAATAAACTTATGTAAGTCATCCAGAGAATTCAGGATATTTATTAACTGTCTTTTAGGTATGAGGAAAGTTGAAAATATAAGCTAAAATAGAGATTAGAACGAAAGTGCCTGCAAAATAACATTGCAAAGTAAGGACAGGCTCATTTGTAACATGTTTATGCTGCTACAGTTTTACTACAGTTCTTTGTTGTGGCTTTCAGTGTGTCTGCAGCTTAAATCATTGAGGTGGACTATTTAATTGAACGTGGAAACAGTGCTCTAGCAGTGGAACAAATAGTTGAGGTGGTGGCCTTTCTCTGGTGTAAAATGTGTGTTAACCAGGAGACAGAACTTTTCTTTCAGTATTAAGTAACTATTAGGTTGTGTGATACACCTTTTGGTATTACATGTAATTGGGGATCAGAAACTGTCCTGGATTGTCTG